CTGCTTTCAAAATATCAAATATACCTTACTTTCATTGGAATAAATTCCCTGTAAATTGTAGCACCATAGGTCTTTTGTCTGACGTGGAGAGCGGGCGAGGAAACCGGTCGCCACATCCTAAATACGACCCATGCATCTTTTCTTACTACATATTTCTGTAGCCTTGTGATCGTCTAGAATTTGTCTTTAGCTGTCTTTACTTCTGCTTCACGTTGTGTATTTACTTCTTACTGGTTTTCTTAAGACGTTTGTCTTACTAGGAATAACAATGCAACAGTTTGCTTATACATTTTATATAGCATAGCCGAATACATATATAACAATATAGATAACAATACTAGCTAAAACCATTTCTCAACCCTATCCAGCCTCGCGGCTGTATAGGAACTCAGATGGAACCTCTCTGGAATCCAATGGTAGTCTAACTTAAAACTTTACTATGATTTCTTTTATATGACTCCTGCATATCACACACAGAAAGCCTGTTCATGGCCCCGAACCTGTGCAATTAACGATATGATTGGTTACTTTAAGTCAAATGATGCAATTAGAATAATTCCACTCACGTGTAATCTGGTGGTATATTATTGACACATGTTTTGGTTAAATAGCTCTTTTTATGTGTCAACTGTCAATTACAGACTAAGTTGATTTAGTACATACTATATATAATATATATGTGAATATGTGTGAAACTATTAATTTGCCAAATATATTAATTAATGAAATATAAAGTTATCTTATTTCTCTATTCCTTGTCTATAAATTTAAAACCAATGTCGCAACGACGATAGTGCTACAAAATATGTCGATAGAATGTATCTTTAAAAGGAAAAGTGCAAAATATATTTCAGCGAATAAAACTTGGTTAATTCTGTGGAAGGCTCGTGCTACCCTTTTTTAAGTGCCAAGCAATTATCCCAAGCTATTTGAAACATTCTCAAAGATATACTATCTACCTCAAGATATCAGATGCAGTTGGGGCATGCTTCTCGCCAAAAACACCCTTAAAAGAGCGCAGCAGTTGAAGCTGGATATTTCAGACAATGTTTGTTTGATTTTCCCAATAAACCTCAATCTTTTCGGACATCAAATGTGCCCGAATAGTTCCGCTTTAAGCACAACCCTCTGTAATAATAAAACTTGTAAATAATAACGCTTTTAACATTATTTCTATTGCTTATTAATGTGGCGATATTGCTATTACCATCGACCATCTAATTATTTATTTTTACGCTGAAGCATGTTTCATAACATTGTATAAATAGTGCTTGGTAAAAATAAAATGAAATTGAGATTTGTTGTGTTGAAGTGGGATGGATTTATTCAAATAAAACATTACATACCGTGATTATCGATTCTTATCCCAGTCTATAATAAAACTATCTTTAATGGACTACGGGAGCCACGTTGGCTATGTGGATAAGACGTTGGATCGCTAGTCTGGAGGTCGCGTGTACGATCCCTGCATTGGCCGACAGGCCGAGAAAGTTCAACGGGATCTTCTGACGTTGGTTCCCCTCGTAAGTGGTGCAGGACGGACAGGAGGCCTAACAGGGACAGCTGCCTAGTCATTCGGACGAGACGAAAAACCAAGGTCTCGTGTATACTTTGGTCTGCACGTGAAAGATCCCTTATGTGCCCAGCCGCGGCAGAACAGTAGGACATTAAATTCCACTTCGTTTCGTTTCATTTCATTTATTGGAGTACTTTATAGCCATCAGCGACCATGCAAGATACGCCTACATTTTTCAACATATGGATAGAAAACAAGTTAGAAAAGGATAGTGATTTTTATACGCCCACATTTTCATGTGGACATATTATGCCGTCGCCCTTGCCCGCCCGTCCGTCCGTCCACAATTTGTATGTGGACACTCTACAGGTCACAATTTTTCTCCGAAAAACTTGAAATATGGGTCCCCCGATGGAGGGTTGGGTGGTCGAATGGTTAGCACGTGCGCGTTGTATCATAAGGTCGGCCATTGAATCAGCTGGCGTGGTTTCGATTCCTCGGATGTAAGTTACAAGGAGTAGGTTTCCTCCAATTGCTAAAGACCCCTACGCGCAAGCGAATTATTGAAATAAAATTGAACCAATTTTGATGAAACTGAGATACATGTTTATAACACACAAATCTTGGTTCCTTTCGATATTCACGCATATCTGATCGTAACTTCCTGAATTATGGCCCTGATTGTACGAAAATTCGCGTTTTTAGCTTGTGGTCCCTCTAGAGGTCGCATTTATTTTTGATTTTAAAAAAAAGTTCCAATGTATCACCGTTAAACCGTAATGATGATTGATTGAGTTCAAATTTCGTGAAAATCGGACCAAAACTGCCAAACAAAATGGCCGCCCCTCGTACGCAAATAGTGTAAATATATGGTATATCAAGGTTATGGACCCTTCCTGGATGATGGCCCCTAATTGTTCGAAAAATCGCATTTTTGGCTTGTGGGCCCGCTAGAAGTCACAATTTGTATTCAATTAAAAAACCCAAAACGTTTAATTATATCAGTGAAGGTTGAGTTCGAATTTGGTAAAAACTGCCCGACCAAATGCCCACTCCTTGTACGCAAATGGTGTAAAAGTATGTAAAAGCGATGTTGTTGACACTCTAGAAGTCACAATTTTTATCCCATTTTGATGAAACTTGAAATGTATGATTATAATTCAAAGATCTTGGTTAATATCGATATTTGCGCATATCGAACCGTACGCAAATAGTGTAAATATATGGTATATCAAGGTTGTGGACTCCATAGGGGTCCCAATTTTGATCTGATTTTGACCATAGCCGAACGTAACTTCCTGGATTATCGTCCCTGAAAATGTGGGCGTATACAGTGTATATATATACAAAAAAAACCCACATACATAGTTAATCAATAAAAATGGAGAAATCAAACAGCAAACATTACATTTAGAAAATAACACAAAGATTCTTGATATCATTGTCGTTATTACATTGCAATAACGACGTCAATTTCATTTCGTTTGGTGATGAATGAAGTTCATTCCCATATCTTGCAGGATTGGGCAGACAAGAATGAAATGGTACTTTTTTCGACACATTTCAAATGACAAATTTCACACATACGGTTATTAACAGTATATTATGTCTACGCCTAATTCAATGTTACGTTTTTGTTTTGAATACCTAAAGTTCGCTAAATAAAATCGAAATGATTGAGGTAGATTAATATTTTAGTAATTTCTACTTTCAAAATCTGACTTTATGATATGGGCCAATATCCTCTAGTGGTCACAATCGTTATTTGATTTTGAAAACCGTTAAAATGTATCACCGTTACATCGTAATGATGGTTGAGTATGAATTTCGTGGAAATCGGACTGAAACTGCCTGGCATATTGGCCGCTCCCTGTACGCAAATAGTATAAAAGCATGTAATATCTAGGTTGTAGGCCGAAGCTTCCCATGGTAATGTCCGCTGCTCCCCTTCACGCACATTTTGGAATTGTAGACCCATCTATAGGTCACCTATAGAGGTTAAGTAGGCTGGAGAATATTAAAATGTAATAATCAACATCTTCCACAATTTGGGCAAGTTCTCTAAAACTATTCAATAGCCTTGACCAATAAGGAGACTATATTTAAAACCGAGTCTTTGTCCCCGTGTGTATGGCAGACTAAATTATAATGGTAATTCTTGAATCGGTGTTTAACTGGTATGTGTGTTCAAATTTGATGTGAATCAACATAGTTAAAACTAATAAGGTACTAGCTGCCACATAAATAGGGATAACTCCTAACCTTTAGTGATGTAAACCGATAACACCCAACTAGTGTAGAACATTACTCCAAATCAGTTGGAAACGTGTTGCCACTCAGACAGTATAATGTTACACTTAATAGTTTACACCCGTGGGTGTAGATTAAGCATTACCATCCTCAAGGATGTTTTGTAAATTACACTTCCATTTAGTTCAAGCCAATGACTTCCAAGTACAGAAAATTTGAAATTGGCTATCGGCCTCTATGATAATTAGTATAGGGCGTTTAGACCGTCAGTTACTTCGTTTCATTTTACAACGACATTAAATTGACAAATACCCATCAGACTGATTCAAATTCAACTGCTGTTGGGCAATTAGACAGTCTGTATCAATTTACAATGAATATAAATCATGAGCAAAAATTAATACACATATCCTTATAACTTATCTGAATAATGTGGTTTATTCATTTATGCACCCCACCTGTATTAAGAATTATTAATAAAGATGGTGTACTTGTCTTTAAGTTTATACAAGCTAAAATAATCTATACCTTACTCGTTATGAGTAAACACTCTAAAATGCGTTATAATTGTGTTGCTATTTAGTGCAATTAACGCAATTTTACAAAAAAAGTTCAAATTGGACAACACAAATACTTTTGTAACGCAAGATACGGTGTAAAATTGACATCTTATTTCGGAGGAATGTTTCTCTAAAATAATTACACCTGTTGATGTTAATGCAATAAAACGCTTGTATAGGGTAGCTCATCCCAAACACCCTCAGTAGCTACAATTACACCTATTCCGGTGTTCAGTACTCATGAATATCGGTTAAACTTTTGCAACCCAATTTACCCCTTGGCAATAAATCATCATACTATGTACATACTCTGGCAAATCGGTTTAACTGGAATTGTATACAACATAAAGTAGAGCTTTGGTTATAGTATTGCCTGTGAGAGATTATTTATTAATTAGAAAATTAAAATCGCCATTTTATCATATGACTTATTAATCGTTAAATAAATGAGATCTATGATATGGTCGGTTTCTTACGAATATAGACATAAATTAGCAAGTAGATGGGCACTTGTGATACCCATGGGAATCGCAATATACTTGCTGTACTGTTTCACACAATTAGATATTATACTTATTTCATATTAAATTAACCCTGGCATGTTTAATTTCTGTGTTGACTTGCGGCATTGCTGATAACTATTTCAACGTTAGTCTTGAAAGAGAAAAAACATATTAAGGTAATAATTGTGTTTATACTTTATTATCATACAAAGTAACTCTCAAAATTTGTTTCAACCGAAAGTAACCCCACTAGAGACCCTCAGAACTGTTCCCATTTTTGTTTTAGGGGTAGGTATTGTTACCAAAGGATGACAATTACAGTTCAATATGAGGTTCCCATATTTATTTTTGCCAAATGAAAATTTGCGTCTACTGCCAGATGCGCAACAGTATTTTTTCCTATCGAAAGTTCTGCTGGGGCGCCCATTACACGCAGTACTGGTCATACAGGCTGGTTCTGAAAACAAAAAAATAACATTACATGTCTAACAATGTCAATAATATTCGTGAAAACCAGTTCACCAAATGGGTAAATATCATATGAGGTGGCGGGGTCGTTTGGAGATTAAAGAGAGGCCGCAATTTATATAGTTGTATATGTAAATATAAACGCTACATACCCTGTCCATTTGTAATAATTATGGCAATTAAAATAACTCCAGTAAAGAGTAACAATTTTGGTCCGTTCATGTTGAGTAGATATACAATACGGCGACAAACACTTGTCTTTCGGCGCTATAATAAAAACACATTGTAAGCATTAGCATTACAAATAAACGCAAGAGAAAGTGTCATTAACAGATGTATCGCTTTCAGATTCTACGTTCCGTAATAACATACAGTACCACGGACATTTGAACTGCATATATTTACAATTGCTAACAAGATATGTTCCGATGGAAACGGTCATCACTTTTCACATCCAACAGTAAAATTGATACACCATTAATAAAGGCAACCGCGTTCACATTTAGATATACCCTATATAAACTGTGCTTGAATGTCAAATATTACAGATTTCGACTATACACAAAGAGTTTCTATTTCTTTGGTTTCAGTTCAAATGCTTTTCGAAGTCCCGTGGGGTGACGAAAATGGCAACTTCAATCTTTGAGGGTTAAATTAACGGTTATGGCAGGTCTTTCTTTAAGACTGAAAAGTTATATGAACTATAATCAATTATACATTTATTAACACGAAAAGACCATAATCAACTCTCGATGCCATCGTATCTGCCCGGCTTTCAATGGATTTGAATCCGATTTGCTGTTCAACGTCCGTTGATGATTAAACGCAAAAGTGGATAATCGAGACTTTGTTACTTATCGTGACAGCGCTAACAATGACAATCGAGGCTACAAAGATTTTAAAATAAGGGTTTCTCGGAAGAGTGCAGCAACTTAACCTAAATTTCCAGCTTATCCCCTTTACATCATCTAGGTTTTAACTATTATAGTGAGAACTATCAGTTCTTTATCTAATCTACCATAATAGTTATGCGGACTAAAGTTCACATTCAAAATCTTAATGATTATTTCTTTCTAAAATAATAAGCAAATCGAGTATACGTTTGTACTGGTTAAAGTACAATTAGCTATCAACGCCTCATAATTCAGGTACGATATTTAGTGTTTAGGGGGATCAAAGATCCACGCCTCTCCGACACTAAAAAGATCTTAATAGAGGAAGAACGATAAGGACAGAAAATAGCAAAAAAGAACCAAAATAAAAACACAAGCAAATCACACGAAACTACCAATAAGAAAACCACCCCTAAATATTAATACTACGCCTTGTCAACTATCTGCAAATATACTTGTCACTTCCAGCAGGTCCTGCATTATTAAGAGACACAAGATTCAGACTCCGCCACAATGATGACAAGCTTATCTGAACCCAAAGTAAATACGGATAAGTATGTCTTTCCGTCGATCGGCCACTCTACCTTATATCATTTATCAACAGTTTGGGACTTCAATCTGCATCAAATTTGAAATACTAGTACAACACCTAATTGAAAATGTGGCTGTAACCATTCGACTCCAACACTGCTATTACAGAATTTCTCCCTAATACATTCTATGACGTAATATATATAGTACCTCGGCTATCAAACAAACATATCGCCCGCCGAAGAAAAGGTCGATCTATTGCAAATGTAATTTGACCTTGTACGCAGCTTTTGGCTGACATTTTTCTGGCGTCTACATATATGCGCATACATGCCCAATCGGATATTCATGTTATCTTCTACTAAGTCGCTGTTTTTGCTGTGTGTTCAGCTTGATGATTCTATATTTTATTGACGTGGTGTGTGATTATAAGAAAACATTGTCGACATCAACGCATCAAAGATAAATCCTCACTTATGACGTTGTTTACGTGGGATTCTCCCAACTTTTCAGCGATTTCTCAGTTCAAATGGAAATAAAAAATCATGCATTTATCAATGAACCCCCGCCCCACCATAAATAAAAGAAACATGGCAATGTGAAACAGCCGGGTTGCTTTCGGACTGCCTGGCGACTTTTGATCCGTTTATTAATCAGTTTTGGTTTATTATTTCCAAAACTTGTAGAAATTATATCATGGAATTATTTTGTTTTGATGAACTTGGCAGCTGGAATGGTATCAGTGAGAAGAAAATGATAAATAAAATGAAACATCTTACCTGTTGTGTGGCTAATTTAGAATTTAGAACAGTGTTAAGGCGTGTCACGAATAAGTAAACCGTTTTATACAGAACACTTTATTCTTTGACGTATATTCAAAACTAAGAGGACAGCTACGAAAATGATCATTTTACATTTGACGTTTATTGTATCGTACGTCAAATGTTGTCATAATTTTTGCTAAAGGCTATTCTGAAATGAGACAACCGCTCTTCTGTTCGAAATGACAATTGTTTTTATATTGCACTGACATAATAAAATAGATACATTTGCAGTACATACAATGAAATAAAATATGGGCGAAACTTTAAAATGTAATTCATATACATGTGCCACTTACAGGTAATTCGGTTTGAGCGTTTTTCTTTACCCAGTCTGTCATAATTTGCGACTCCCCTTAAATCAAATTTTTTGTACAACTGACGTAAATATATCTTGACTGTCTGTTTTATATACATTTATAATCTAACTGTGGACTTACATATATATGTCGGTGAGTGTACATACATACATAACATATTAAATTGAGTAAACACGGTTATGGAACACCTATGCCATTTTGTCAGACGTAAGCAACAAGAGGTAATTGAAAGAACAAGACATCAACAACAGCGTGTAATTTCAAGAAGACTAAATCTGATTAAAATACAGATCTATACCTTCAATGACCTACACTGACTGGTTGTAGTGGAAGGTAGCGACATAGGTCATACGAGCAGCTTTTGACCTATTTATCTTTAATTTGAATTTCACATATTATTTTTAAATATTTTTAAAAAAATGTCTTCCTTTATCACATTTCTTAGTAATTTCTCAGTGGTTTATTTTCCCTTAACAATAATTGTATACCCAGAAATACTTACGATAGTAGGTTTATAATTGTACAAAGTTTAATAAAGGTATATTTAACTCCCGGTTCATGAGGTACGCTCCGGAAACAAAATGCGTAGGGGCGGGGCTCTAACGCTGAGCGAAAATTGCGGAAATCAGGACTCGAGATTCACAGGTAGATCTATCGCGAAAAACGTCAATGCCATATCTGATGCTAAACGCAGATACTGCTTGGAACAACTTGAGCTACCCAAGGAGGATTCACGAAAGACGTACACTTTAATCAACTCACTCCTTGGAAAAACAAAAAGTTTTCATTTTGGGCCCGGTATTGTTTGTGCTCTATACTGCAGCTGTATCTAACATCATTGACCGTCATTCACTGGATCATCACGCATATGCAGATGACACTCAGATAATTGGGAGTTTTGAGCAAAATCAATCAAGTCATGGATGGCCACTAATATGCTGAAACTTAATGATGACAAAACTGAGGCGGTTTTAATAGGCACTAAACATCAGCGATCAAACTTACATGAACAATCCATAACGATCGGAGACTCAGATATAGCTTTCTCCTATTCAGCCAAAAATGTTGGGAGTTTTCCTGGATAGGGATCTGTCGATGGGAACAAGACACCGCACATATTGTACATTAAAGATAATGTGGCTATAATGCTTCTCCGATAGCTAACACCAGGTACAACCATAGTAATCGAGCCAAATTATACAGACTTAAATACATTCTAGCACAGATAACCTGCTATGCTCTATTACATCAATTCCAGACAAGTGAAAATTAATGATAAAATTCACACGCCCAGTTTGTATTGTTTTAAAAATGTGCCGTATTATATGACACGGGACCCTTCGTCCGTCTGCATTTAAGGTTTGTGACTTTGTGACAGCAATAAGTTTTATATGAAGAGCAACCAACCAGAAGTTCCCGGGTTCGTACGGATGGGACGAAAAAATTGATTTACGGCCAACGTTCACTTTTAGCAGAAATTCGGCATTATACTTGTAGGCATTTAAAAAGAACTGCGAAGAAAACCGATCCCAAACTGTATAGCCATAAATATGTCACGTTATTGTCACTCAACGGGATGTTTTAATAAACAGTGGCTGATCTACTATGAAACTAATCTCACTATTGATCTTAGAATACCTATTTCATATAGCCTCAAATTAATGTCATGTAATTAATCAAATTTCAGTCTTTTATTGGGGGGGGGGGGTGCTTGCATAGCCAGAACAACCAGCATAAGCTCGTCAGAATATATTTATAGCTTTGACCTATATTACACACCACCAATTCGTTCTCCGCAATTTTGACGTCAAAATCCCTGCAAGGACAAGGCCCGTTTGACCTTGCCCTATTGTTGGTGGTTGCGAAAGGGTCTCGATGGAGGCCCGCCACTGTGTACAGCAACACTATGACAAACTATATCCTCTTATTTAGTAGAATGTGGTTTTAGTGCTGTGAGGCAATTTGAATATATTTGGGGGCGATTATTACCTTTACACCAAGGCAACAGTATCAAGAACAATTGTCAGAAATGATGAGTCTGTTAAAACTCTCTTCAAAGGTAGAATGTGGTTTTAGTGTTGTGAGTGACATATTATTGAAAAAAAAAATATCAAAAATTCGAGGAGACTTTAAACTGAAGCTGTTTAAATTAGAGCTTCGCATTAAAGATTTTTCTTAAAGCGAGAATTTCATATTTTTAAGTTATATTTTTAAAATGTATTAAAATAAAGCCTTATACGGTATCTATAAACAGTCCTACCTTTTAAAGAATAATCCTATAATTCTCTATTGCCAGTTGAGAAATTGGCAAAAATATCATTTTCAACTTCAAATTCAAACGTTTGGAGATAGCTATTCCATGGGGGGGGGGAATAGAAAAACAAGGGAGGTAATTTTGTTATTATTTCCGGTATGATAATGATACATTTGATCGTATAATAGTGAGTTGACAAACTATTGAGCAAAAGACATAGAAATAATTATGTTTTGACTTTCTTAGAAAATATGAAATTCTTGCTTTAAGCTAATTACTATTTTCTGATTGTTTATTATTTTTATTTGAATAGTTTTATTTTATTTAAAGGAATCAATATCTTATTTGAAGGATTTATACTTTTACAAAACTCAATTTGTTTTCATATCAAAGGGGGGCACAAAATAATTTGCAATGTTGAGGTAGGCCATGGTACATAAAACGCTGGGAACAACTAGTATAGGTTATTAATACACTTTCTTAGGTAAAACAATATTGTATTATTTGATTTGAAAATTTCTTTTGATGTCGCTTTGTATTGGATAATAAATACCTTATCTCGTAGGTCGCGTGTTCGATCCCTGCATTGGCCCAGAAAGTTCATCCAGATTTTCCGACGTTGGTTTCCCCTTGTCAGTGGTGCAGGACGGGGGTCCCGTGTGCACACTGGTGTGTACGTAAAAGACCCCTTGGCAGTTGGAATTCGATATAAAAGTAGGTCATCGTGCTGCTGCCCGGGCAAACTTTCTCCCATAGCACACTGTATGGCGTATGCCCATCTCCATTAGCCTAGTCGGGACAGAACAGTAGGACGTTAAACCCCATTACATTTCATTTAACATGTACATTTTCTCGTATTTAATTAAACCTTATCAAATAAATTCACTGTGAGGGGAAATATCCAGAGCAGAAACATCATACTTGTAAACATAAGATATATGATATAAATAACCCCTTGCGTCTTGCTTCAGAGAACATATAAGTACCGTATTTTTCGGTGTATTAGGCGCACTTTTTTAACCAAATATTTTATTTTCTAGAAGGGGTGTGCCTAATACATAACGTTAAGCGAATCCAGGCTTTTCCCGTGTAGACACCGAAGTCGGGAGTTCAACAAATAACTGCCCTATAATTAACACATGTCGACCGGGTGACGCTACCTCAAAAGTTTATGATAAATTACCACACAAATTAAACACAATACTGTTTCCTTTCGTGTCCATTTATATTTGTCAGTAATATTTTAGATAGTTTAAAATTCGTCAATAATTATCGCCCGTATTTCTGTTATTTCGTGCATAAAAATTAAAAAAGATGTCAACATTTTAGGCTATCCCGTGTACAGTATAGTGTTTGTCATAACCGGCAATGCAAACACCATCGGCTGATAGCCGTTCAACGTTAACGATGTTTTAAAAAATAGCATACGTATCGTTAATATTTCTTGCTAATTCTACATCGTATATTTCTGCTATTCCGTACACTCTTGGCCATTATCGGCAGTCCGTGCACGTCCCCGTTCAAGGTCAGTGGTGCTGTCAGTCAAGTTGACGAATAGGGCGGGATATGCATTCATACAAGCATTTTCATTGGCTCAATATAAGTCATTGGTAGTAAGGGTGGGATTAGAGTTAAACTGTCTACGATATCACCCCTGGTGGAAGTGGGCGGCAAACTCCAGAAACGACGACAACGAAGTTGTTCTGTCTAACCTGTTCTCGAAACGGCAAATCTTCACGGCGTCTATGATTGACAGTTAACCCATTCTTTCTCAATGTGTGGATAACATGCGGCGCTCTATCTATTTGCTTTATCTATTATTATCCTTTCTAAGTCAACAATGTCAACTCAAATAGACCACACCAATCCACTAATAATTGTAGCCTCTATCACTTTCACAATGTTTTTTTCGGAAAAGGCACAGAAGGTTGGGTAATGCTGAAAAACGATAGGGTTCATCCTCTCATGACTCGATGCTTGTTTAGAACTGCTTCACTATTCCATTGGTGGTAGGGGACCAATGACCTGTTCGTATATTCCTCAGTTTGGCGTAATAACGAATAATACTAAGTCCTAGAAAAAGGAAGAAAGTTCTGCATTGTGAACACCATCTAAAAATCCATATTATGTTTCTTTGGGATGAAAAATTCGGTATCAATGATGTTTGGCAAACTAGGAACATAGGGTAGTAAAAAGAAAGACATGTTTATGTATTTTCTAGTATCGACAATAGCGAACGGTATTTTCATTCGTATACTCAAAATGTTTCCTCCGTTCGCGAAGAAAAGTCATGTAGAATTATTTATTAGTGAATGGGGCCTCTCGGTTCAACAATGGTTTAAAGGAATAAGAAGGCGGTGGCCAAGAGATACCCCACCCCCTTTAACAAAAAAAGTAGCAAAGTACAAAGAATAATAATGTTCTATAGGAAAGATAAAATAATCCATTAAGCAGGTTGGGTCTACCTGAAAATTAGAGATTTAAAAATAATAGGACAAGGGTTTTTTTTACCTTGTTAAAGTCAGT